TTTCCTGTTTAGTTTTCTTCTGCCATTAACTTTTCACCTTGGACTCTCGCAAAGTAAGAACATAATTTTGGCATTATTGGTGAAAAAAAACACCCAAATCATTAGCATTTTTAAAGGGCTTGAAATTGGACTTTAGTAGAATCAGTTTTATATTTCCTTTGTGTGTGTGTTGTGCATGAGAGGAGAGAGGAATCAATGGCCTTTCACTAAATATTTACAGAAATCCATTGTGCAATTACTTTCACCAGAAAATATGAGACCCCATCCCTGAAATTTATAGATTTGCATCTAGTACTCCCTCATTGGATGATACATAAGCAAAACAAAGAAATAGAAACAGAATAAAAACCACACAATGGCAGGAATTGCCCTACATACTTTTCAATATTAAATATGGAATAATACAACAATCTTGTATACCCCCTAATTGGGAGACATAAATGGCAACCGAGCTGAAGCTCAAGACTAGCAATTTGAGGTCTACAAGAAACAATATCTCATTGACAAAACAAACTTTGGGTTAGGGTGGAAATGGTGAGAAAAGGTTCTTCTAAGCAACACAGGATTCCCCCAACACAGGCAGGATAGCTACACTTCATATGTAGGAACCAGTGGGAGTGGGGAGGAATGTAGGGAGAGGGTGTAGAAAGGGTGAAATATGGTACAAAATAGTGTACACATGTATGTACAAATGGAAAAATGATACAATGGGTTAAAATAAATCAGAAATAGAGAGGGGGGATGAAGGAGAATGATTAGAGGGGGTGAATTCAACTATGATATATTGTAGAGAAACTTTTTGTAAATGTCACAATGTACCCCCAGCCAACAATAATAAACAAATAACCCTACCAGTGGCTTTTTTTAAACATTAAAAAAGAAGAAAAATAAATCCTAAAATTCCAAATATGAAAAGAACAAAAGACCTAAATAGCACGCAACATAATTCTCCAGCAAAAGAGCAACATTGGAGGTATCAGAATAATGGAATTCAAGTTATACTACAGAGCATAGTACAAAAATAGCCATGGTAACTTGCACTAAAACAGACCTGAAGACCCTGGAACAGGATAGATGACCCAGAAAATAAAACCACACAGCTGCATCATCTGATCTTTGACAACAGGAGCCAAAGAATACACCTGGAGAAAAGACAGTTTTCTTTTCAACAAATGTTGCTAGGGAACTGGCTATCTGTATGCAAGACACTGAAACTAGACCCTGTCTTTCTCACCTGTACAAAAATCAACTCCAACCAATGGATCAAAAGATCTTAACAAAAAGCCTTCAATACTTTGAAATGAACTACAGGAAAGAAAAATAGAGAAACTCTGGAATACATAGGTCTAGGTAATTATTTTCTGAATAAGATACTAATTGACCAGCGAAATTAAGAGCGAAAGAATGACAAATGGGAACTACATCAAATTAAAAGGTTTCTGCCCATCAAAGAAAACAATTAGCTATAATCAAAAGAGACCCAACCTGATGGAGTGGGACAAAATCTTCACCAGTTATTCAACAGATAAGGGATTAATATCCAGAATATACAATGAGTTCAAAAAAAAAACAGTGAAGGGACAAATAATCCAATTAGTAAGTGGGCAAACTAAATTGAACAGAAAGTTTTCAGAAGAACTGCAAGTAGCTAATAAATACAAAAAGAAATGTCCAACATCCTTAGCCATAAAGGAAATGCAAATCAAAAACACACCAAGATTCCATCTTACCCCAGTCAGATTGGCAATCTCAAGAAAACAAATATCAAGTGTTGGTGAGGATTCAGGAAAAGGGAACCATCATACATTGTTGGTAGATAGGTAAACTGGTACAACCACCATGGTTTGAGGTGCAACCACCTCAAAAACTAAAAATAGACCTACCTTATGACCCTACCATACCACCCTTGGACATATTTCCAAAGAAATGTAAATCAATACACAAGCGAGATATCCGCATACTCTTCTTTATAGCAGCTCTATTCACAATAGCTAAACTGTGGAATTAGCCAAGATGCCCAACAACTGATGAATGGATTAAGAAAATACAGTATGCACATATCATGGAGTATTAGTCATAAAGAAAAGTAAAAATTATGCCATTTTCAGGAAAATGAATGGAACTGGAGATAATTTGATCACTATAAGCCAAGCTCAAAATTCTAACTACTGAATATTCTTGCTCTTTTGTGGAACCTAGACTTGAAATAATAATAATGATGATAATAATAATGGGACATGAATGTGAAAGAGGGATCATCTAGGGGATCAACACAAAGGGAGGGAAAGAAAGAATACTGAGCAGAGAAAAGGATGGAAAACATGCTACATGTATATATTCAAAGACATCATAAAGAAATCCACCAAACACTGTTTTCAAAAGGGGGGAGGAAGTAAGGAGAAAAGAAACTATAAAAGCAGGGATGAATTTGCTCAAAGTACACTGTACACATATATGAAATTACCACAGCAAAACCCCTTATTAATAATGTATACTAATTCAAAAGATAATAAATAATAATTCATCAAAACTAAAAAACATTCCAATCCTAGCATTTTAAGGATTTCAAATTGATTTAGCAAAATCAGTTATATTTTTATCATGTAAGAGGGAGCTTCTAAGGCTGTTTGCTATGGATTTCAAATTGATTTAGCAAAATCAGTTATATTTTTATCATGTAAGAGGGAGCTTCTAAGGCTGTTTGCTATATATTTACAGGAATTCTTTGTGTGTTACTTGTGAAAACACAATGCCTGAATTTATAGGTTTGCAATATGAATTTTTAATTGAAGTATATTAGATTTTAAATAGCATATGTCAAATTTATGATTTCTTGTCTTCTTAGTTTGGAATTTATTTGATTTTTTTCTAGTTTTTCAAAGCTAAAGGTTTAGTTCAAAGACAAGCTCATCTCTGTTTTAAATGCTGGGTATGTTCATGTTATGGGATATAGAATCTTCCTGTAAGAAGCTTTTTATCTACCTGAGACTTGTAAAATCTAGTCATGAAATAACCAACTAGTAGTACTAGGATTTTTTGGACTAAGCACATATAGAGAGTTAAGTGAGCAGGAGAATAAGAGAATGATCTGATTCAAGGTCATTTCCAGTACATCTTCTAGACTGCTCAGGAATATAGATGCCCCTCACCCTTATTTACATGTGTGAAACATCTTTTATTTCATAATTAGTCACTAAATTCACTAAGACATAACCTTCAAGTTTGGTATTATTATCCCTGGTTTTCAGATGACAACACTGAGTCAGTGTGATAAGGAACCTGCCCGAGTTCGCACAGCTAATGAGTAATAGCAGCTTTAGGATGTTACCCATGCCTTTCCAGACACCTCCATTGGTCAGCATCCTTTGTCCATTTGTGGGCACTTTGGGGGAACACTTCAGCCTTTAAATCTCAAACTCTCTCTAAAGACACTTGTTTGGAGCAACTCACTGTTCCTCTACTTTTTGTGATAGCCTGTGTTCTGACAATTCTCCAATTTGTACTTTTTCTCTTTTCTCCCAACGCTTATCTTCCATTGTCAACTTCTTTCTCATCTTTGCTTTCTAAATTTCTACCACCACTTCATGGTCTCATCTAAAATTCAGTTCATTACCTTCTTCCCTCTTTTATTCTTCATTTATGTCACAAAAAATCAGGACTTCGCAAATTTATTATTCTCTTTTTCTGCTTTCTTTGGATTTAATTTGCTCTTTTTTTCTATTTAGAAAGTTAGTTATTTTTAAATAGTTCTTCTTTTGTGATGTGTGTATTTAATATATACATTTCCTCTAAGTTCTGTGTTCAATACATCCCACAATTTTGATGAGTTTGTTTTCCTTTTCATTTAGTTCAAGCTTTTTAGAATTTTCTCTTGGGACTTTTTCCTTGACTCATATCATCCTTATCAGAAGTGTTTTGTTTAGTCTCCAAACATACTAAGTATTTCTACTTATCTTTTGGTTTTCTTATTCCTACTTTAGTTGTAGTCTGAAAGCAGGCATTGTATGATTTCTACTTTTGAAAATCTGTTACGGTGTGTTTATGGCTTTCTTGGTTTCTGGGATTTTCTCTCCACTCCTAACTTTCATGTACGTTATTTTCTGGGAGATTACTTAATATGTGTGTATGGATTTTTCCTTCAAAGTATGCTTCTTGTAGGAAGTTTGATTGCATATTCTTTTTATACATATAAACAATATTCAATATTGTGTTTTATATATTACATTTTTTGCAATACTGGGCTTTGCACTTGCTAGGTAGGCTTTGCACTCTGCCATTTGAGTCACACTGAAAGCCCTTTTTGCTTTTGCTATTTTGGAGTCTCACTTTTGCCCAGGCCAGCCTGGACCACAATCCTCCTATTTTATGCTTTTCACTATTGCTGGATGACAGTCAAGCACCACCATGCCCAGTTTCTTCCATTGAAATAGAGTCTCACAAATTTTTATTTTTCTCCTCAGCTGACCTAGAACTGTGATCCTCCCAATCTCAGCCACACAAGTAGCTAGGATTACACCAGCACCCAGCTTACTTCCAATTCTTACTTTTCTCACTGAACTCCTCAAAACTGTGACCAATCCTAACTACTGCAAAGTCTCCACCACAGTTGATCTGTTTACTTTCCCAATGGTGCCTTCCAATTAGAGGCACCCATTTTACTCTGATTTTCCATCACCAAAAATAACAGTATGGGCAAATATGGTGGAAGTACTATGTATTCATGTATGAAAATGGAACAGTGAGACCTGTTGAAACTGTTTCAAGAAGGGGGAAAGGGGAGATAAAGGAGAAAGATGGAGGGATGAATCTAAGATATATTGTAAGAACTTTTGTAAAATGTCACAACATATCCCTAGTACAACTACAATATGCTAAGAAATAAATTTTTAAAAAGAAATCTGAAAAGCAAAGAAAATTTTTTTAAAAAGAGTAGAATGATGGTTAGTAGAGGCTGGGAAGAATAGTGTGGAGGGAAGGATGGAGAAAGGCTGACCATCAGTACTGTGCAATTAGATAGGAGTAATAAATTCTAACATCCTATCACACAGAATGGTGACTATAGAGAACAGTAATGTATTGCACATTTCAAAAAGCTAGGAGAAAGGATTTTGAAAGTTTTTACCATGAAGAAGTGATTATTTGAGAAGGCAGATATGTTTCACCTGATTTAAATGTTGTACAATGTATACATGTATCAAAATATCATATAGTGTCTTATTAATATGGGCAGATTTGTGCCTCAGCTAAAATTAAATTTAACAAGCAAAAAAATCAGATATTTCTGACTGTTAAGTGAAATATTACCTTTATAGTATTTGCATTTTTATGGTTTCCTAGACAATACATGGCCTTCTGTCCATGGAACAATGGAATTAAAGGATATTAAAGTCTAAAATGTAATGATAGGTCTTGTCAAATAATTTAATAGCTAATAACCTGATCAAAAACTCTTTCCATTATATGCTATTTATGTTTTAATTAATTACCTGCGAGATATTTTAAAAATAATAATGGCATGATGTATAACTTAGTAAATGTCCTCTCATGGGCCTGGAGACATTTGTTTTGTGATATATATACATCCCAGAATGTCTGGGTCCTGTAGACAACTTAAACTTATTTTTCCCAAGTAATGTCTTCCTGCTTTCCAGGACAGCCATGGTACATGACAGTTCCTAAATCCCCACCTCTGCACTAACATGAGTCACCATCCCACTTTTTGATTTTTGCCAATTGTATAAATGTAAGAAGATATATCACTGTTTTAATTTGCACTTCTATGTTTAGTAGTCGACTTGAGAACCTTTTTTGAGTTTGATGATACTTCAATCTTTCTGTTCTATGAATTGGATGTTCTATATGCCTTGCCCATTTTTCTGTTGATGTATGTCTTGTGATTTGCTGGAGTTTATTATATATACTGCTTGAATATAAAATGTCACCTATTGTACTGTATTTCTTCTCCCACTGCATTATATTTCTATTAAACATAGCACAGGTGTTCTTTGTTGCACAAGACTCATAACTTTTTAGACCAACAATTCATCTGTTTCTGAGATGTGAAAACATACAGAAACCCACAAAGACATACTTGAAACAAATAGATACTATAATTGTATTTTTAAATGAGCCAGGACACACTGAAAAAATGAAATAATGTGTGAAAAAGCAAGAAACTTAGAATTAGAAGAATCATAAATTAAATAAATGAATTTAGGAAATTATTAGACATAAAAAAATTAAGATATTAAGACTGAGATAGGAATAACAGGGAAGAAATAAATGCAACAATTAGCATCAGGAGAAAAAGAAGGTGAAAAGAAGAACAAAGAAAAAGAAAGACTGAAATGAAGAGTATCTATGGGCAAGTAACAATTGTAGGTACTGGGGAAAAGATCCAGCTGGCATAAAGTAGAAGCCTGGACAGAGAAATCCAACCAAGAGACACAGCAAATAATAAAATCTTTCCACGGTGTAAAAAAATTAAAGCAAATTATTGAGAAGAAATATCACACCCATGAAAACTGCCCCAAAATGAACCATAGAACATATCAAAATGAACAACAAAACATATCCTAGTAAAATTACTTGACTTTTTTATTTAAAGAGAGATAATAATGAAAGCCATTATAAATTGTTTAAACAGGGGTAAAGGGAAAAGAAAAAGTAATATAGAGGGAATGACTTTGATCAATGTATATTAAATGAATATGTGTAAATATCACAATGAAACTCCTTTAAACAATGAGTATACATTAATTAAAAAGAGAGAAAAATTAAAAATAAATGAAAAGGAAGAGCCAGAAAAATCCTTTGAGAACTATGCATTCTCAGTTTCCTAGCTCTGCATGAAAAGACCTGGAAACAGTAATGAATCCAGAAGCAACGAGCCTTCAGCACCTGTTTGTGTCCCAGAAGTATTCTTTCCCCACAAAAAGAACCAAGTTTCTTGGAAAAATGGTTGATTCTCAGTTTGAAGAATGAAATGTATGAGTTAAGAACATCTTACCATATTAAGTAGCAAGGAAAGTACTAGAGTCTACTAGCACTGTGTCAAAAAGTATATAGCAACATCTGAAGAGAATTTCAAAGGCCAAAGATAGAAAAAGTTTATCAAAAAAAAAAAAGCATAGTAATGGCAATGGGTTGGACCACACCAAATACGTTTAATTAGTGAGTTTATAATGTCACTAAAGAAAAGTAACAGATCACCTTTGGTGGAAACCAAATCATTGTTTTAAAAATCAGAACATGAAGGTAACCTAAATGTTTTTATTCTAACTGTGGTGGTCAATACATGAACCTATTCAGTTGATAAAGTTACATGGAACAAAATTTATACACATACAGACACAAACCAGCACAAGTAAAACTGGAAAATTTGAATAAAATCAATGGATTTTGTCACAGGCATCCTGTGTGTAATACTGTACAATTGTTTTGCAAGATGGTACCATTTGGGAACTCACAATGGCACATGAATCTATAATTATCTCCAAATAGAGACTATAAATTAAAATAAAGACTATAGTTAAAAACTCTTCATTGACAGTATATCCACTGATAATAAAATATGGATTATGTTGAGGAAGTTGAAATTTTCTTATGAATAAACTTCCTTTTAGGAATTAAAAATTACTAGGAATCCATCCTCTGATTCTCCTCAACTTCCTACTGTTCTACACCTTGGATCTGCCAGGGCAGCCACAGGGTGACAGACTCATTGTCCCTTATAAATTTAATAGAACAATACAGCTTGTTTAACAAAAATCTTTATTTGGGTAAGGAGTAAGAGAAAATCTGACATTTACTAACAGTTTGGGGGATGTAAAATATCAATGCTTAAGTAGTACAATGCATGACATGAATCTGTGATATATCTATTCAGGCAGAATTTCACATTTGGGACAAGAACAAATTGAAGTACTCATGGTTGCTATTGCCACCAATTCCTCAGCAGCTCCTCTGTGAACAAGGAAAGTCTGCCAGCTGGGATTATTTGTTCTTGCCTAGTATCACCTCTGACTTCCATCAAGGACTGCCTACTGCCTCCATCTTCAAAAGCATTGCCTGCTGCAATTTAGTTGTCTCCTTTCTTCATGAATCTTTTCTCTTGCTGCTCGTTCAGCATGAAAATCTGAACAGTAAATTTCTATCTAAGACAGCCATGGTTTCCAGGTCCTGCTCCTGCTTGACAATGGTCAGTCAACTCCATAGCATCCACCTGAAGCTGCTTGGAAGCCAGCACTCTCTCAGCCAGCTCTGCCTCATTTAATTCTTCTAGCAACTCCTTATTCACTTTTATGGCTCTATTTTTGATAGTTCTTCAATTTTTCTTAAAGAAGCTTGTTGTGTGTGGACTATACAATGACTAACTTGGAAGTTTCATCTTCGGTTTTGGTTTACTCTATTTTGATTTCTGATTGCATGCTTTACACTTACAGCTCCTTTTTTTCTTTTTCTTTTTCTTCTTGCAGTACTAGGGTTTAAACTCATGGCCTTGCCCAGCACTCTACGACTTGAATCATGTCTGCAGCTTCCTTTTGGATTTAGTTATTTTTCAGATACCATCTAACATTTTTGCCTACACTGGCCTCTGACAGTAATCTCCTACAATAGCTCCCATATGGCTGGGATTACAGATGTGCTACACCATACCCAGCCCCTCTAACTTCTTATTATAAACAAGTTCTTATTCCTCACCACTTTTGATGGGGTTATAGATATTTCCTTTCAAAGACGTCACACTTTCCTTGAAGTCTCTTCATTCTCTTACCTTCACTGTGTTTTGAAATTCCTTAAACACGGAAGTCAAGGTTACCTGATGGTTCAACTTCTCTACTTTGCTTCCGGCGGTCGCTGTGCCTCTCACCTCTCAGTTCTCTTTTTCAGTACTCCCCAATGTCTGGGTCTCAATCTCAGAGTGATCATTTGCTTTATTTTCAAAGTATGAAATTCTATGGAACAATAAGACCTGTTGAAACTATTCTAAGTGGGGGAGAGGAGATAAAAGGAAAATGATGGAGGAGATAAATCTAAGATATATTGTAAACACTTTTATAATTGTCACATTGTACCTCCAGTACAAAATAACATGCTAATAAAAACAAATAAAGCTAAGACGGTTGAAAAGCAACCACACTTTTTCCCCAACTAACTTTGTAGTTTTTGTAATTAACTATATACTCAGGTCTGTGGAACTAGAATAGAGTTGACACCCAGGATTTCGTATCCTAAATTTACATATACAGTTTAACAGCTCATGTTTGCTTAAATTGCTACTTTTTTAAAAATGTGAAATATTCTAGCCTATCAGCCTCATTTTAAATCTCTATTGTTTGTGTTAATCAACTATGTGTCATTTATGGATACAATATATTCTTTCATACTATTAATAGATATTTTTGTTAACAGATTTTTCCAGAATCAGTAATCAACACTCCCTTAATGCATTATTCAATAAACTGCAACTCCAACTCATCAGTAAGGTTAGCTTTCATTGTTTCATCCATAAAAATGCCAAAAGAAGGAGGGAGGGGGGTAATGAAAATATAATGGAGAGGGTTAATTTGTTCAAAGTACACTGTATGCATGTATGCAATTATCACAATTAAACTCCCTTGTGTTATTAATGTATGCTAATTTGAAAATAAAATTAAATTTTTTTAAATAAAAAAGAATAATAAAAAGTCAAAATATGAAATTCTTTCTTTGGCTTCTTTGAATGTGATTTTAAGTCTTTCTGCCTTCTGGTGTCCTTTCCTTATGCAAAGCAGGAACTGACTCACAGTTAATTACCCAAATTCCAAATAATTTCTGACACCTTCTTCAGAATTGCTTGTGTTGTGTCCATGGAGTCTCTTCTTGTGGTCCCAGAACTATTCCTGATTATTTACTGCCCCCTATACTTCCCTTCAACCATCCTAGTTGCAACAAAGTAGTCAATCTTCCAGTTGCTGGAGTTGAGCATGAGCTATGGTTTAGAAAGATGCCCACAGGCCTGACTTCTCAGCCTGAAAGTGGACTATCTGGGTCTTCAGCCACTGCAATTCCTGCTCTGCTTCTGCCTTGAGAAGCCTGGAGTCACCAGTCACCTCAAATGACCTTTCTGATTTCTCTTTCAGCTTTCCAAGTTCTTCCTTCAGATTCTCACTTTCATGACTTTCATGTCAGTCGCTCTTTGGCCTCTTTGCTCTGCATCTCAAAAAGCTGGCGTTCCTCCTTCTGTTTCTCTGTCCAGGCTTAAAACTCCTCAAATCACCCTTTCATACTTTGATTGTTTAGTTTCATGGCTTCTTTCAGCTAATGGCTTATTACTGGAGCTTTTTCGTCTGTTGCAGCATCGACTATGAATGTGTCCAGGCTGGGGTGAGTCAGATTGAGGGGTGCATTTTGGGAGGTTTCACTGGGGCCATACCCTTTTCAGTTAGGCAGCTCAGAAGCTGGTGGAACATAGCAGCAGGTTCAGCAGCCATGACCAGCTTATCTCCGGAGTTGAGCTCCTGTCCCAGATACAGAGGCCAGCCAGGGTACTCATTGGGGTGTGGAAACTTCAGGTTCTGCCCCACCTGAGTTTGAAAAATCTTTGTATGTTTCTTGAAAACACTTTAAAATAAACATTTCAACACTAGTTGATGGTGCCTGACGGTGAATTACTAACAATGAGGAACAACCATAATCGAAATAATTGATGACGATGTTCATGGTAGAGGGGGACAGTGATGGAGATGATGAGGAGGACAGTGATGATAATGATTATGGTGGTGATTGAGTTCATGGTGTTCTTGGTTGTAAAATATTCCAAGTATATATAACTTCAAGATGATGCTACAAATAAAAGAAAAAGGAATACAACTGGGGGAAAAATTGTAATTCAGAGAGCAGGTATAAACTAAGATCCTAATTATTCCTTTAGAGAGGTCTATTGTCTCTGGGGGTAGCTACATCCCAGGAGAAGTTCTGCACATACATATAAAACAAAACCCCAGTCTTCAAATCTCTGTCATTCATTTTTCCTGACTGTGCTGGTACCTTGAGTAAATTTAACAACAGATATAAATCTATACCCTTTTAGCATTTGCTGAGAATTGAAACCAAAGTCATTTCTTAAAGTTCCCAGGACAAGGTATTTCATTTTCCTTAGCACTGGTCTTTAATGATATACTTAAACAATTGTATTAAAAAATCTTTCTTCTGTGAACTCTTCTTTATTATACAGCTATTTACAACCATACGTTTGTCTGCCTTAATCTGCAAGTGCTTCATTCTCTGTGTGCTGCGTCCTCATCCACAGCAATCCTGAGCCCTTGCATGCTTGGAAAAGCTAGAGGTAATAGTAGTAACTCACAGGAAATAAGTGGTTTATGTTTGTCATGTTTATATTATATTACTAAGAGATTATGGGAGTAAAAGTGTTAAGTCCAGGTTCTCTTAGCTTCTCATATAAATGGTCTTCCCATTTACAGTGCACTGAAGGAAAGATATCCACTCTGTCCTATTGCGAAGCACTGTGATCAATGGTAATAGGTACTCAAGGTGGATTTTCTCTGATTCTTATTACTTCTAGAGTTAGAAATTGAGTCAAATGTAGGATTTTTCTTAATCTAGAAAATATTCTACAAGTTTGTGATAAATGGTAATTATGTTCAAAATGATATCTACTCTGAAAATAATTATTATGAAGTTGAATGATTTATCCCCAATAATTTAACATAAAAAATTGACAGAATAATGTATATTTTCTTGTCTTCAGAATATATTGTAAGTTCTTATCATTGACTCTTTTTTATATCTAAGAAAAAGAAATCATGCTAGATATTGTTATTAGAGAAATCAAATGAGGCCATGATTTAATTATTATGTTATTGTTGTATGGGGGATACATTGTGACATTTGCAAAAAGTCTTACAACATATCATAGTTGAATTTACCCCCTCCATCATTCTCCTTTTTACCCCAAACCCCCATTCCTGGAATAGTTTAAGCAGGTCTCATTTTTCCATTTTTTTTCTTGAAGTATATAATATTTCCACTATACTCACCCTCCTACATTCTTTCCTTATAGCCTCCCCCAGAGACCATGATTTCTAAGTCCTATGTAAAAAAAAGGTTACAATTTTTTTTGTAAAAAATATGCATCTTTTTATACATGTAAATACATCTATGCAAACAAAAAATCTATAAGGATATTCGCTATCAAACAAAAAATCTATAAGGATATTCACTATCAATACTATACTCCAAATAGCAGGAAAAAATATTTTTGGTTGTTTATTTCTTTGTTTTTCACTCATATGTATTTCTAATATGCACAATGCATGTATAGAGCCTTTAATTTAAAATTCAACTGAATTTTGCATTGGTTTTACCAAACAATAAAAAATAATACACAAAGATACAGTACAACAAAACAATACTGTTCAGTGGAGATACAACAGACTGGCAGTCAGAAGTCCTATGTTTTATTCTGAGCTCTGCCCTTACTATCCAGATTGCCTTGGGTGATTTGCTTGATTTGTGCAGCTTCAATTCTCTAAAGAACGGAAGACTATACTACCGCATCCCTCTTCTTCTGTATGCTGTACACATATTAAAATGTCACATGCAAAGCATGTTACAAGGACATACTTCTTAGAGTACAGATGTGCAGATTTGTAAGGCTAAACATGGGAGACAGGGAAGAAGCTGAGGATCCAGGGAGAGCAGAGTTAAGTATGACTCCAAGTCTCCAATAATTAGTAGGCCTTGGGCAAGTCAATGTCTGGTATGTCAGTTTTTTTCAATATGAAGATGGCAATAAAAATCCTTTACTAAACACATTTCGCTCATATCCAAAACTTTAGGACTTAATAACGTGGTTCTAACTATGTTGCATTAAAGTAAAGTTAGTGATTATTTCAGGAAGAAAAATAGTGAGAACTGAAGATTTTATCAAAGAAATACATCCCACATAGGAGGATGTGTGTATATGTTATAGCCATCAATAATGATCCATGCTTCCTAGAACATGTCTACAATTTGAATATTTTCCATTAGGAATGTAAAGGTGTTATGTTTTGATATTATAATCTGAAAATAATCATAAATTATCTATGGAACACTTACTAAGAGTACTATGTGCAGTGCTCAAACTGAGCCACAGATCAATTAGCTCAGAATACCGGTGTGAGAACGCAGGGCTCAATACTTTCCAAAAGCTCCAGGGGGTTATAATATGTAGCCAGTGTTGAGAACCACAGGTTTAGGACCTCAAGTCTGCAGAATCATTAAGAACACTTTGTAACAACACATATTCTTACAGAATCCTAGTATAAGGTCTTAAATATGTGTTATCCTATGTGTTTTACAATTAATTTTGGGATTTATATGCTACTTTGTTCATCTCTTGGATATACAAATTGACTTGTCACTCAACAAAACAGGCGTAACTACCATATCACCCTACACTGCTTCCATTTCAAAAAGATGTTCATGTGTTTCTTGACCAAATATTAGGAATTGCCTAAATGACAGTGAAATTCCATTTCTGCAGCAAATTTCACCTCCAATTATTATTAAGTGTGATATATACTACTTATTATGGTATGGAGACACTCAAATTTCAGTGTGCACCAGTATCTTTAAAGACATGGCTAAATTCCAATTGCTGGGCCTATCTCAGAGTTACTGATTTAGTGCCTCTGGGTGAAACCTGAGAATTTGCATCTCAAATAGGGTCTAGGAGAAGGAGATGTTGTTGATCCAGGGATGACATCTTGAGAACCATAGTTCTAGGCCATTTGACAAACAGATAAAAGATCCCAATTTAGCCCCTTTCCTCCAACAGCTGGAGTGAGCAGAAAATGTATCAGCCATGCCCAGGATGGATCAGCACGTGATAAATGCAGAAATCCAGTATTTTCCCAAGCAGGGCAAAAGCAGACTCTCACCAGCTCCCTCTCTCCTATCCCCACAGGACTTCCCCACAGAAACAATGACTATTGGAAATCACTCTACAGTGAGAGAATTCATTCTCAGAGGATTAACTAACCGGCCAGAGCTCCAGCTCCCACTCTTCCTACTCTTTCTGGGGATCTACCTGGTCACCATGGTGGGGAACCTGGGCATGATCACCCTGATTTGCCTAAACCCGCAGCTTCACACCCCCATGTACTTCTTCCTCAGTAACTTGTCGTTTGTGGACCTCTGCTATTCCTCTACCATTACCCCTAAAATGCTGGTCAACTTCATGTCCCAGAAGAACATGATTTCCTATGTGGGGTGCATGTCTCAGCTCTACTTCTTCCTTGTTTTTGTCATTGCCGAGTGTTACATGCTCACCGTGATGGCTTACGACCGCTATGTGGCCATCTGCCGCCCTTTGTTTTACAACATCATTATGTCTCATGCCCTCTGCTCCCTGCTGGTGGCTCTGGTTTATACCATGGGATTAATTGGATCAACAATAGAGACTGGTCTCATGTTAAAATTGCACTATTGTGAGGCACTCATCAGTCACTACTTCTGTGATATCCTTCCTCTCATGAAGCGCTCCTGCTCTAGCACCTATGACGTGGAGATGGCCGTCTTCTTTTTAGCTGGATTCAATATCATAGTCACCAGCTTAACAGTCCTTGTTTCCTATGCCTTCATCTTGTCCAGCATCCTCCTCATCAGCTCCACTGAGGGCAGGTCCAAAGCCTTCAGCACCTGCAGCTCTCACTTTGCAGCTGTGGGGCTGTTCTATGGATCCACTGCCTTTATGTACTTAAAGCCCTCCACAGCCAGTTCCCTGGCCCAGGAGAACATAGCCTCTGTGTTCTACACCACAGTGATCCCCATGCTCAACCCCCTGATCTACAGCCTGAGGAACAAGGAGGTCAAGGCTGCCCTGCGCAAGACCCTGAGGAGAAAACTCTTGTGATGAAAATGCTTTCTTTCTGCATATAAGAGTAAGTGATTACAAACACCAGAAGTACACCCTCTGCATGCCAGCAATCACTTCTCACCATGCTAAGATGCATCCCTCCTCTCCAACTTTCCTCCTGCTTCACCTCCTCTTTCTCACTTTGTTTGAAACCACCCAATTTAATTTCATTTTTCTTTTATTTGGGACCCATTTCCTGTATCTTAACCCCTATGTGAAACATTTTCTGTATTAATTGTAAATTAATATAAAATGTAACATTAAATTTTCAGCAGTGTATTTGTGAGTCATTCATGGTTTTATTACCTTCAATATAGGATTTATTATTCAACTCAATTCTTACTTTTGGCACTTGGGAGTGCCCAAGGCAGAGAGAGGTTAATTTAAAAGTCACCAAGAAGGGATACCTAGTCTCTTTCACATCCAGATTACATTCTACTCTTTTCCACTCCTCTCTAATATTTCTGACAGAGAATTTGTACCTGATCCTGTCATGTCATTTTCTTTGTGACAACCATAATAATAGCAAGTAACATATTTTCAATGATTGCTCTTAGTCATGCAACTCTTCTCAGTATTTTCTATTTTTTCAATTATACTTCACCTCAAGTGGGTGCTATCCTGATCCCAGTACACACATAAGGAAATTTGATTTAGTAACTGGCTAAAGGTCACACAGCTGGTAGATAAGCAATACAAGATTAAACTCCAGTCACTGTGACCTCCTAGCCCACATTCGGGATTCTGTATTCTCACATATTGTTCCCTCACGGTATGCTGACAGTTTCTTAGAGCAGCTTATTAAGACTTGCCTAGTCATGCTCTTCCAATTTCAAATGCCTCCTGATAATAATTTCTCAAATTCCCTTCTTTTGTCCCCTGCCCCAATCTCTTTGTCTTTATATGCAACATGTACAGGCTGGCTAAAGAAGAATACACTAGGTGACTGACTGGACCAGGTTTGTCTGCTTTAGCACTGAAAGTCCCACATACTAGGAACCCCTCAGTCCCAAGCAGACCAGGATGACTGGACACCCTTGATTACACCTACTGCAAAATCTCTTGTGCTGTCTCAATAGCTGGTCTTATGCCAACCTCACTCAGTGATCCAACTGCCAAAACCAAAAAGCAGGATGGATAGACAGACAGATAGATATCACAAAGAAAGACATCAACGTAATCAGAAATGGTGTGGTATGGGCTGGGGACATGGCTCAAATGGTAGAATGCCTGCCTAGCAAGCTCAGGGCCATAAGTTCAAAACCCATCATAGGAAGGAAGGAAGGAGGAAGGGAGGGAGGAAAGGAGGAGGAAGGGAGTGAGGGAGAGAGAGGTGTGTTGAACTGTTGAACATCCTGTTTACAGAAGAGAAAGCCTGAAGTATCACCAAGCATATGAAGAGGTTCTCAAACTGATTAGTAAATATAGAAGTGCAAATTAAAACAGTGATATATCTTCTTACATCTATAAGATTGGCAAAAATTAAAAAGCTGTATGCTGACGGGTGTTAGTAAGGAAGTGAGGATTTAGGAACCATCATGCACCATGGCTGTTCTGGAAAGCAGGAAACATTACTTGGGAAAAATAAATCTAAGGGTCCACAGGATCCAGCAAGTCAGGCCTATAGATAGACAGATAGATAGATAGATAGATGGATAGATATCCCAAAACCATTGTCTCCCAGGCCCATGAGGGGACATTTACAAAGACATACAACTATTCCATTATTTTTGGAAATGGGAAATCAAAGGCAAAATAAGTGTTCTCCATTGGGAAAAGAGACAATTGGTGGTAGACTCTGTTGCAGTTTAGGATTAGCCATAGGCAATATAGTTTAAAGATGTAGCGCTCTGAGAGCAAAATAAGAAAGATAATGAGATGTCGAGCACAATATTGTTTATTAAGATTATATATGGTGGAAAAATACATATGCAGTGTGAAGCTAAGTGGCACATGCAGGTAGTCTCAGCTACAGGAGACTGAGGCCTAGGTAGAGGACGTGGGTCACTGGGTACATGTCTTTGAGGGCTATATCTTACCTTGGTCCCTTCCTGTATCTCCTCTCTTTGCTTTCTGTCCACCATGAAGTGAACAGCCCTCCTATTCCACATGCTTCCACTGTCATAATATTCTGTCTCACAATGAGCTCAGAAACATGGAGCCAAGTGACCATATACTGAACTCTCTGAAACCATGAGCCCAAATAAGTATTCCCTCCCTTAAGTTGTTTATGTCAGGCATTTTGTCACAGCAATGAGAAAAGTAACTAATGCATGTCCCCTTTTGCCTAAAATTACTTGGCCATATATTCTGGGCTTTATTTCTGGACTTTCTATTCTGTTTCACTGGTCAATATGCCTGGGGTTTCTGTGTCAGGGTCATACTGCTTTGATTACTATAGCTTTGTAGTACATTTTGAGATTGGGTAGTATGATGCCTCCAGCTTTGTTCTTTTTGGTCAGAATTATTTTGGCTACTTGGGGTATTTTGTGATCCCATATAAATTTTAAGACTTTTTTTCTATTTCCACAAAAAATATCTTTTAATTTTTTGTAGGAATTACATTGACTCTATAGCTCACTTTTTGCAGTATGAATGCACTAGCAATATTAATTCTTCCAATTCACTAACACAGGATGCCTTTCCATCTATTGTCTTCTTCAATTTCTTCCAAAGATATATGAGAACTTTTAAAGTTCTCATATTTAACCTCCTTACTTAAATTTATTCCTAGGTATTTTATCTTTCTGATGTTATTAAAAATAGAATTGTTGCCCGGCACCAGTGGCTCAGGCCTGTAATTCTAGCTACTCAGGAGGCAGAGATCAGGAGGATTGCAGTTCGAAGCCAGCCAGGGCAAATAGTTCACAAGACCCAATCTCGAAAAATCCCATCACAAAAAAAGGGCTGCTGGAATGGCTCAAGGTGAAGGCTGATTTCAAGCCCCAGTCCCACACACACACACACAAAGGATTGCTTAGTTGATTTTTTAGAAAGTTCAATAATAGTGTATAGAAACACCACTGATTTTTGTATGTTGAGTTTGTATCTTGAATATTTACTGATATTTCATACTAGCTCTCATAGTTTTTTGTCCAAAATACCAAGAAAAAGAAATCTACAGATTGGAACAAAATATTTTCAATATATATATCTGTTAAGGGGTTAGTATCCAAGTATATAAATAATTCACAACTCAATAACAAAGAAATACCTGATTTAAAAAGTACCTTAACAGACATTTCTTCAAAGAAGATCTAAAAATGACCAAAAGGTATATTAAAATGTGCTCAATATCACTAACATCAAAGGAATGCTAATCAAAGCCTCAATGAGATATCACCTCATACCTGTTAGATGGCTTTTATCAAAAAGTCAAGAGAGAAATGTTGGCAAGGCTGTGAAGGAAAGGTATTCCTTGCACACCAGGGATGAAAATTTAGACTGGTGCAGACATTGGGAGAAATAGTACTATGGGGGTTCCTAAAGAAATCAAAAACACAACTACCATATCACCAGCATCCTTTCTTGGGCATATACCAAAAGGACATAAAAATCATCCTCTTACAAAGATATCTGTGCTCCATGTTCATTGCAGCATTGTTCACAATAACCAATCTGCCTATTGATGGATGCATGGTCATATATGTATGTATATGGTCATGTGTGTGTGTGTGTATATATATATATATATATATATATAATCTCACATTGTATATTATAAAATGGGATATTATTCAACCCTAAGAATTGCCCTGCCATTTGAAACAGTATGTTTGAACCTAGAAAATATTATGCTAAATGAGATAAGCCAGATACAGAAACAAAGCTACTGCCTGATCTCTTAGGCATAGAATCTTTTTTAAAAATTGATAGATAGAAATACATAGAAACAGAATAGTGGTTGCAGAGGAGGTAGGATGAGGAAAATGGGAAGATGTCAAAGGGTACAAAGTTGCATCTCTGCAGGATTATTAATTCTAGAGATCTAGTGTGCAGCATGAAAACTATAGTCAATAATATTGGATTGCATACTAGAAATTTGCAAAGAGAGTAAAATTTAGGTTTAAAAAAGTGACTATGTGAGATGATAGATGTTAATTTATTTGACTATAGTAATCACCATGTGTATCATGTTAAGTGCCTTAAATTTACATAATTTTAAAAGAAATAATAAATCAATGAAATTTAAACAGGAATTCAGCAGACAAAAATCAGTGGAACCAAACTCTGGTTCTTTGAAGAGATTAATAAACTTCATAGGCCTCCAACCAGACTAAGAAAAGAGAGAGGACACAAATAACTAATATAAATGAAAGCGAGGACAACACTATAGATCACATGGACCTTAAAAGAATAACAAAGGAATATTATGAACAACTGTTATACCCACAAATCTTATAACCTAGATGAAATAGATTGATTCCTTGAAAACCACAATCTACCAAAACTCATACAAGAAGAAATAGACACATCTATTTTGAAAAATTAAATCAATAATTAATAATCTTACAAGACAGGGAGTACCAGGCACAGACAAAATCACTGGTTAATTTTACCATACACTCAAAAAACAATTATCCCAGCACAACAACAAAAAAAAAAAGATGGTGCTTTGCCATCACTCTTGGGTAGTGACAGAATGTCTTTCTTCACCAAGGCTAGCCTTCCACACTGGACCAACTACTGCCTCACATATTCCTACACTGGGTTTAAGGCTTGCAGGAGGTGTAGGGTTATCTTGAAGTTAGAATTGGCAGTCTGTTACCAGCACCATCTGTTTTACCTTGTGATGGTGTCTTTGACTTCCCCTCCCCCTCCCAGGAAACCAGGTATGGCATTGGAATTTACTGCTTTTCTGTTACTTTGGTTTCTCTGGGTGTTTTTTTGTTGTTTTTTTTTTTTTTTTTTTTTTGGTTTTGGTTTTTTGTTTTTATTTTTAGTGCTCTTTTTCTCTTTCTCTGTTCAAACAGACTATAGTTTTTCCTGCTTTACTT